CGATTCTCTGAACACCTTATTCAGCAGATATGCATGTCATTGCCCAATGCCTACCAACTTAATTTCAACCTGCATCGTTGAAGCAACCCTCCGCTCTGAGTAACAACTCCCCGTCACATTGCTGTATTGTGCCCGTAAACAACGACTTGAAAACTTGGATTGTGTTCACATCGATGATATCTCACACGCAAACTTAAGAAAAGTAATTTCTGACTCTTCCGAAACCCAAAAATCTAGCAACAACCTGCAAAGTAGACTTTATAATTATTCCACTTTATGATTTATACCAGTAGATTATACAGAATAACAAAGAAATAATGAAAGAGAAACTTGAGTTAGTTACATAATCACTTTGTACAGCGTCATACTAATGACTTCACTGCTATACCCACAGTCAAATATAATGTGAATTCGAACCCTATCTAACTGTCTCACGCCAATATGTGCACTCATTGCACACCGACGAAGTGTATCCTTATAGAATGACTAACATTTGCAACTGTGACGAATGTTTCAAATGCTACTATCGAAGGAAAGCCGACATACGTCCGGAAGGGTCGACAGCAAGTAGAGCGTCCATGGTGTCGAGGTTACCCATGCCGTCAGAAGGTGAATTTTGGCACTTAAGGGGTGGGGATAGGAGCGTCCCACTTTCGGCAGTCTCGGTCAGTCGGCGGCGCAGACTCGTGGCTTCCTTGGCGAGCGCCTCGCGGGCGTCGATGGCCTCCTCAAGAGCTGAGCGCAGGCGCTCCACCTCGCAAACCAAATCACGCTTCTGCTGTAGCGCCGACATGCGCTCTGAAAGATGGCTTTGCAAACGCTCGTTGGCCTCCAACAACAGAGTATCGACCTAGCAAAAGTAGCTTCATCTACGCAGCCATAACTTTAAGGTATGAGAACAGTGAAGGTTATCTGCATAGTTGTTTTTAGACCATTTTTACAAATTTAATCGTTGTACAAGAAAGCAAATTTCTTAACCCCAGAAGTGAATCAACAATCTGAAACTTCAGAAATCATCGAAAAACAAGATCACCTATAACTCTACTGTATGCTAAATTTGATGCGAGATGGAAACCACTGTAACAATATAGAGAAGGCTAAGGTAAGGCACGCACAGTAGAGGAAAGCCTTTCGTTGTGTTCCTCATTTAGCTTCTCTCTTTCACGAGCTCTAACCAATTCGGAATTTCCGTCTTCCAATTGTTCAGTCAATTCTTTAATGTGATCCTGTGCGTTGGACAACTGAAGCGATAATGCGCTGATTTTGCTCCTCTGGCTTATGATTTGCTGTTGAAATTGAGTCATGGAGGGTAGATCGTACTCCCCTTCCTGCTGCTCTAGCTTGTTTCCTTCCGTAAGGCTTGAGCTCGTCTCACCCCTCGAATTCTCTCTCGTTTCAAGGCTCGTCTGCAACCGCGAAACCTTTTCTTCCATCTGAAGAAAAGTGATGAATAGAACTGCATTACCTACATACTGCTTAGAATTTCATTAATAACCAAGTTGCAAAGGCAAACCCACTACTACAGCCTTCATTTTACGATACAAAATATAGCAAAGGAAAACATTGTACTATCGGTGCTATTTATGCTATCTTGAAAGCAACTTCCTTCATGTTGAGTTTGCGGCGTTCATAAATGTCAGAATTTCAAATGCAACATTGAGTTTGTATTTGAGAGTGGCATGACATCACCGAACATGCAAAGCTGCTGGTGCAAAAGGAGCCTTCAAAATAATTTGAATGGTGTGTCGCTCACCCTTTCATGTCAAAGACACTTCTTTTGTTCTAAAATGCTGCCGAGCATAACGCCTGGCAAGCCACTTTGGGGGCAATGCCATTCCACTCAAGTGTGCGACGCTGTTAATTGTGCTAAGGCCTGTTTCTGATACCTTTAAGGCCTTGAGTAACTTTATTAGTCAGTGGCACGCAAACAATAAAAGGCAACTTAATGTTGTAAGCATGGTTCCATTACAAAACCAGCGACTGCGCATGCATTTCGACATACCAAACATTAGCCTAGTTGAGACCTTTTCCTGATAGAATGCAAATGATAAAGTGCCTCGAAGAATAAACGAACGCTCGCAAAGCCTATCAAAAGACTTCTTTGTCATTGTCCAAAACTGCATTTTTTCCTTGAACTCTCTACTATGGTTATTTAGCTGAAATAAGCAATGCATGATGGCACATCGACCTGCTTTAGCTGTGTAACCCTGCCGGCCAACTCTGTTCGTAGCTTATCGGCCTGATTTTGGGCGACAGCAATCTCACGCTGTGCGGAGAGGCACTTCTGGTCCAAAGTGATTATCTTCGCTTCCTGTTCAGTTCGCTTGTTCTCCGATTCAGTGAGCTCCGTGTGTAGTTGGCTTATCTAAAGATTATACTTTTGATCTCAGAGACAAGTGTAAGGCATTAGAACGCACAAACATATGAATGGTTTTTTTAGCAATCAGATTCACTCTCGAACCCCCACCGCGCTGCACTCTTCTTTGGTTTCAAAATCGTAGCTAATCTTAACCGTTATTTAAAAGAGAATAAGTAGCAAGTGTGCATAAGTCACGAGGACTCATTGTTTCGAAGGTGGGGTCTATGTGCTCCCCAATTTCTTACTTCCAACCATTTATTTATTTATCTCTTACATGACTCCATCATTCCAGACCCATTACTAAGTGTACTCAATGAACGGGCCATGGTGTCCAAATCAAACACATTTCCATGCATAACACGGTCGCATCTGGACTCTGAAAGAGTTGTCCTGTTTGTAAATAAAAGAGAACCTGGTTGTTAGCCCTTGAGAGTTCGCGAGAGGAAGTAGTCAACTTTCGTTCGAGTTCACAACTCTGTGCCATGAGTTCTGTGATTCGTTGCTTCAAGCTTTCCTAAAAGAAAGTAAACTTATAGGTGCTAAAATTAAGGCCGCGGAAAGGTTTTACTAAGGTAAAAAAGACTTAGTAATGCACTAGGATTTAAATGCTCTTCACAATATGTGGAGAACAAATGCAAAGTCCATGACAATCGTTGTTCCTCTTGAAACCGATGGTAGAGCGATTGTAGCCCAGCTACAGGCAGAATACTAGCCTTCACATCAAGCTACCTCCATCATGGAAAAATAAGCGCAGCTCCTCCATTGGAATCTTTATTTACTTCCACTTTGGTTGTGCTAGATGGGCATTATTGTGAAGCAGGGAGCAAACATTATACGCCAGACGACGTCTTTTATACACTCAGTCTTAAAACTTAGCTTTATGACAAAGATATGGGTTTTGTAAAATTTACCAGCATTTAAATTTTCGCATGCAGCTTTAAAATTCCGTCACTTTCGTGAGAGAGTTTCTTGGATAATTTTACAGAAATCGGCATCCATACACCAAGATTTTTTTCCTTCGTGACCGTTAAATTCACATTTCACATTGGCGAATGAGCAGCTAACTCTCCTCGCCAATTCGGATGGGTGATTCACCGCCCTCGCCTAACATGACATGGCACCTTACGAACACAAATAGGTGGTCTCAGCCGAGCGCAGTCCTTTTGGTTTTACTTACCGAGCTATCCTGAGAACATTCCTGAATTGAACTTCCGAGAGCAGTCTGGCCTGGTGTTGCTAGTTCATTAAAAAAAAGGATATAGGGAAACCTTTGAGAGTTCGATTAATGCTTGTCATAAGATTAAATGTTGTCCCCAAAA